ATTAGCAAGTTTTCAAACCAAATGGCCGGCTCATTGTTTACATGCCAAAAACGTCGGTTGACAGGTGACATTTTCCATAAGCAAGCCTTTTTGACCTTTCGGCTAATGACTCTCCTGAAAGTTGAAACCACAAAACAAGAGAAAGTCGTTGGATGGGGAAAAGGCGTAATGAAGAAGCCCATTAACACCGCTAAACCGGTTGCAGATGGGAAAGATCAAATTACCATTTTGGACCTTGAACTTTGACTCTTGGACAAAGTTGGTCCTCAAACTTCAAAAACTACGAAAATGTTTCTTAAATTTTAATTTTTCATTATAAACTCGGTCCTTTTGTCAACGGAATTGCCACCTTAACTTGCCGTGAAATCAAAATTTTAAAATTCACGTAATTACATGGAAAAACCAGGGGTATTTCATCAAAAGAAAACATGAGTTTATTGATGATTTGACAATTTTTGTTTCTTATATAAACAATCAAACAATGATATGAAAAATGGTAATTGTTCACTCAACAACTAGTCCAACTTTCTAACCACGCACTTTAATTCTTTTCGTATAAAACTGACCCCATCCAATTTATTAAATTGTAATATAATCTATTAATTAATCAATTCAATTAATCAAATAAAAAAGGTAATTAATCAAAATAATTAAGTAATTAAACACTACTTATATGTTTAATTTAAATAAAATTGTTTCTCTCAACTTCATCTCCCTTTCTCAAGAACTAGAATCTTTTGTTGGCTAATAAATAAAAAAAAAAAAACCTTTTTTAGGCAATCCAACCATCCATCAAAGCAAGAAACTCATCTACAGAAGACTAAAAGTTAGATATTTGTGGTTGTTGTGCCTATCTTGGGTATTTTTTGGATAATAATGCAACTTTGTTATTTAAAATTTTAGGATTTTTGTTTTGTGGGTTTCAATAAAAATAATTGATTTACGATATAGAGTAGTTGATTGATTATCCCTAAACGGTTCACTTAACCTTGGGATGATGACTACCTCTAACATGGTTCTTAGAGGACCCATATTGAAAGAAATTATATTTGGATTATATAGTATCATCGGAAACTCTTTGAGAACCAAGATTGAATCTAGCTAGAGAAGGGAAAAGGGAAGAAATAGGGAAGGAAAAAGGAAGAGGGAAGAAGAAGAAAATTGGTAGCCATCTTGCTTTAACTCTATTTCTCTAATCTTAGTATTTTATGGAAAAGGAGGAAGGAGAAGGGAGAGAAGGAGGGAAGAAGGGAGGAGAGAGAAATGAGGAAGGAGGATAGGGGAATTGTTTATGCATTGTGTTTGAAAAAGAAAAAGTTAAAAAGAGAGAAAAATAGGAAGTTGGAGAAGTTGGAGAAGAGAGATCAACGCAGATGGAGGAGTGGAAGGGTTGTTATGTAATTTTACATTTTTTTCATTTATTAACTAATATGAATTATTCATTTAAGTCTCGGTCATCACTTTCAAATTATATAAAAGTTGTTTGTAGGTGCAACATATCCAAATAAACTAAAATGGACCTACTTGAATTGCCCACTTCATCATCAAATTAACAATTTCAAAATTTGCAAGTCAATTTTTACAAAGGAAATGATTTTGGGACAATTTTTTTATCTTAACTTTTTTATCTCATCTTTTTGTATAACTTGACATGTCAATTATATAATTGATTCTTTTTATTCATGTGAGTTTCATGATATTGAATGCATCCACTTATTTAATAACATGTAAAAGTTGAATCAAAAGGAAATATAAAAATATGAGTAGTGTTATAGAGACAATTTTTTTATCTTACCTTTTTATACAATTTTCATATATTATTAAATAAGTTGATACATGCAATATCATGAGTCCCACGTGAATTAAAAGAACCAATCATTTTAATAACACATGAAATTATACAAAAAAATATAATAAAATAATTGTACAAAAAGTATTTCCCCAAAAATATTATCAGTATAGCATCACCCTTTTCACAATTTTAAAAAATTAAATTTGGATGGCTTAATTGTCCACATCAGCGTTTGATTGATGGAAAAACCACGTTGGTAACGGAAAACTAAAATTAAAGGATAATTTTAGTAGTTTTTGAAGCTTAAGGACCAACTTGATGCCATACTCAAAGCTCGTGGACCTAACTGCCAATTTAACTAAATGGCAAAAAACCAAGGGGCTCTGCTCATGGGTTTTCTCGCTGTAATAATTAAGCAGTACTGCGGCTATTGCCTCCAGGACGTCTAGAAACACAAAAAACCGTGAGCTCAGTTCAACAATTTCCAGCTGTTTTTATGTTTTCTTATAAATAGGGTTCGGGATTCACACCCTTTACTTGTCCAAAGAAATATCTGTTTCTGAGTTTCACTTCCATGGCTTCTCTTGTGCTTTTACTGTCTGAACTTCTTCGCCACCGAGACCCATCTTTCTCTTCTTCTTCTACCTTTCCTGCTTCCACATCTCTAATGTCTTCTGCCTCCAGAAAGCAGTTGGGAAAGAATGAGGACGGCAAATATTATTCAGAGATGAAAGGGGAAGATCTGCAGGAGCTCAGGGTTTCCGTTGACCTCGTCTGGCCTTGATCTGTGGCTGCAATTTGAAATTTTTATTTCATTGTTTTCCTTTCTTTTTTTTAAGGAGTAAGAATTGAACCTTCACTTGTGGATAAAAATAGAGGCAAGTCTGCCAACAAATGGTATTTTTCTTTTTAATGTTTGTGCATAATTTCCAGCAGGGAATTAATTAATTTTGGTTGTGTTGATTATTACTAGTATATGTCTAAAATTTTTTTATAAAAAGTGCAAAATTTAATTTTTTTATTTACCGTTAAAGTATTTTTGAGTTAATTATTAGGAAAAAAGAAAAAATTAGCATGTCTCCATTTTCATTTGAAAATGAAAAGTGAGTAAAACACTTATTTGACATTTTAAAATGAAAATCATTTTCTAAGGAGAGAAAAAGGAAAATATAAGAAAATAGAAAACAACTTTTAATTGTCTTCTAAAATAAGAAAACACGGAGGCAATTAAAGAAAAAAAATACCCATGGGGGACCAATGTGAAACAAATACAAATATGTAGGTTAAAACTGTTAATTGTTAAAATTTATTATCCATATAAGCTAACCCCTCCCATTTCAAATGAAACCCTACCCGATGGCTGCCTCCCGCTGCAATGGCGTCTATTTGAATAAGAATTGAAAAAAAAAAGAAAAAAAGGGGAAAGAGAGGAAAGGGGAAGGATAGGAAAGAGAAGTTAGGGAAAAGAAAAAGTTAATGTTAATTTTATTTGAATAAAAAAAAGTAAAAAATATAAAAGAATAATATTTTTACTTAATTAAATAATTTAAAAAATAAAATAAAAAATTTTAAATTTATTAATTAAATAAATAATTAAAAATAAAAAATATATAATTTTAAAAAATTATAATAAAAATAAATCAAATAATATAATATATTTTAATTCCTTTAAATCAAGAAAATTTATTAAAAAAAGAAAGAGGGAACTCCATTTCGTCCGTACATTAAAATCATTAATCCAATCAACCGGTTGTTGAATAGAATTTTTAAATTTAATAGTTCAATCCTAAATCTTAAGTACTTAAATACTTAATTAAAGATGATCGGAGCTTCAAACTCTACTACTGTCGTAAACTCCACCAAATACAACTCGATAACCACGCATCTTATTTCAAGAGTGAAATATTCACCCGTTATAAAAATCAAATCTTCAATTATTAACAATTAATTCAAACTAATTTTTTTATCATTACCCTCATAAAAAAATTCAACCGGACGTGCTCTCTCTCCCTGCACTCTCCTTACTTTCCCTTCCCTTCCAACTTCTACCATCCAAACAGAACTCAAACTAACTTCCTAATCATTACACTCTTTCAAAAAAAAAAAAAAAAAAAAAAAAAAAACACCGGACGTCCTCTCTCTCCCTGCACTCTCCTTCCCTTCCCTTCCCTTCCAACTTCTGCAATCCAAACAGAGTGTCAACGATTCAAACTCTCCGATGGCTTCCTCCCTCCTCGATTGCTTCCTCGCTCTCTCCAACTCTTTCGTAGCTTCCTTCCTTTCCCCGACTCTCCGATGGGTTCGTAACTACAACTCGGACCTCTTCACTCTTGCTCTTTCTCTGATTTTCAAATTTCAATATGCCTCTGAATCTCAATGCCTTAATCTGGGTACATTTCTAGTTTTTGTGCATTGCCAGGGATTAAATTCTTTATTATTTTTAAGGTGAAAATGAAGACGATTAATTCTATGGAAAATTTTGGTTTCCGAGTTAATTTAACCAATTTACTTGCAGATTGCAATGTGGGGTTTGTTAAATTTTATTTTATTTTCTCAAAGAGACTCTCTTTTTGAGCAACGATTCAATTGGGAAGCAGTATTGGCAACCCTTTCCTTCTAACTCTTACTTATGGAGCGTTGCTTTGAAGCTCAGTTAAAGATTATTGCATATGCCGAACGATTTGCATCATGATTCTTTCAATTTTAAAGCCTAGAAATGTTAGTTTTGAGGTTTTAAAGTATTATTAGTTGTGATTTTCTGAAAAAGTCATTAGTTTCTAATTCAACCTGAATCTCACCTTTTTTTTGATAATAACTTGAATCTCACTTTGATGGGACCATAAATTGTTAATGACTCATTTTCAAGTTTGATCATCATGATTAGTTTCTAGCTTGCTTGCTAGTTGCTTGTGGAGTAGAATTGTCTATTTAGACAGTTGAAATAAGAAAGCATATATCTTTCTAGGTTTATCATGTTTTAATTTAAAATGTAGTTACTAAAAGTAGATAGAGTAGTGCACACAGCTTGCAACCATATTTTTTTGTTCTCGTGTAACTATGTTAGTCTCCAACTAGTGAACAACATTTGCTTGTTATTCTTATACTCCTAGTTGCTACTTTTCAGTATTTATTGATTTGATCATAATGGATAGCTAGCTAAATGCATGTCTTCCCTTTATTTCTCCATCATCATAAATTCCGTTTGCATCTTGGGGGCTTAATAGCATGCTATTGTCAATAATATTTGATTTATGTAACATGGTTGAGCAGATGGCACACCAAGAAATGCTGTGATTTGTTTGAGAGGGTTTCACAAAGTGTAAAAGTGGAGCACTACAGTTAGGCGCTTAATGATCTTAATGCTGCCATTGAGGCAGATCCATCACTTTCAGAAGCATACTTTCACGCATCCACTCTCTGTCAATTTTGCTGGTACTGCTTGCTTTGATGTTATATTGTGGATGCTGAATATCCAAACATAGCGGGGTTTTTGGCACATACCAAGGACAAAGGTATCATGCACCTGATTTTGCACAAAGACATTGTTTGAGTGGAAAAGAAGAATTATTCAACATGAGACATTTTGTAGTGTGAAATGTAATTGAGCACGACATTAAAATTTTGAAGTGAAGGTTTCCCATTTTGACTTTAATGCCTTCTTATCCTGTTAGGAAGCAAAGCTATCTACTAAAAGCTTGCTACACTATCCACAATTTTATTTTAACAGAAGACGAGATGAATAAGTTGCTTGCAAATAGAGAATTTGATACATTAAGTAGGGAAGAAGGTATGAAAGTTCAAGTAGGGAGCCAATTATATACTATTAGATTTGGAGCAAGCTATTCAAATGACACAAATTAGGGACGAATTACTACAACATTATGAAATCATTGTAGGTAGAATAAATATTATGAGAATTATTTTGAATGGTTCTATATTTATTTTTATTTTTCTTTTTTAATTTTTAATTTAGATTTTTTATTAAAAAAATAATTTATTACAAGAAATTTTTATTTTTTAAAAAATAATTGGTAACTAATTGCAACAAAAAAAATATTAAGAGTAATTTTATAAATTTATAAAAGTTAAGGGTTAAATATTATATATGAATATTTTTATTTGCAAAGCATGTTTTTAAAAATTTCCATTTCCTAATGAAAATGAGAAAATTGAAAATTAAGAAAGTTTTCTTCTTGGCAAACACACTATAAATCTCCACCACGCCTTACCTCATCCAAAGAGAAAATGGCGACTTCATTCTTCCCTATCTTATCGTCTTCACCCTCCATTTTCCTTTCCTCTTCGACAACTCTGAGACCACCACTACCCATCCACCTCAAGAAGAGACTCATCTCTTTCTGTGCAACATCTCTCCACTCCCCGACAACTGATCCCCCGCCGGAGGTCCAGACTTTCTGGAAATGGCTTTCGGACCAGGGTGTCGTCTCTCCCAAGTCCCCCGTGAGGCCAGGAATGGTCCCCGAAGGCCTAGGACTCGTTGCACAGAGAGACATTTCGAGAAACGAGGTCGTCTTGGAGGTCCCTGCGCGGCTCTGGATAAATCAAGATGCAGTTGCAGCTTCTGAGATTGGGCACCTCTGTAGTGGGTTGAAGCCTTGGATGGCCGTTGCCCTGTTCTTGATCAGGGAGAAGTTACGAGAGGATTCTTCGTGGCGGGTTTATCTCGATATACTTCCGGAGTTCACAGACTCCACTGTGTTCTGGTGGGTGTGCCTTGTCTGGTTGCCTCTTTTATTTTTGCTGAAAATTTTTATTAAGAAGATGCTGGTATTATTGGTTTTATAGTGATTCTTGTATTTGGCTATTTCTGCTTTAATGGTATCGAGATTTCGGGGTTGATATGGTATTCTCTTAATGGTTCCAGTGCAGGTCAGAAGAAGAACTAGCTGAGCTTCAAGGTTAGTTTTTTCTATTGTCTTGATAATAATCTTTTGATAAATTTCTTGTAAAATTTAGTATTCATTGCAAAACTCTTGGTGCTAGAAAATTTGTTTTCATTTTTTTAGAATTAAGACTGCAAGCTTTTATAATACTTTTGGCATTGTATACTCTGGTTGAATTTGTTCCTGAGTCAATAATAAGTTTTAGAAATTTTGATATCCAGCATTTGGCAGTCGCAGTGGCATTCATCTCTGAGGATACTAATGCATTGGCAAGATGGTTAACATGCCTTGAAAGTTCATCATAATCACCATGAAAACTTTCTCGGTAAACCATCCAAATACTGATGATATTTTAAGGATCCTCTAAAATTGAAAATCAAATCAATGGACTCTGCAAGTGTCTTCCTTATATGTAGAGAATTTGTAAAATTTAGTCTCCTAATAATGTCGTGTGTGTATTTTGTTAAGTTACTATACTTTCTTTGGTGGATTGAACACTGCTAAGGTAGCAACCAATTAGCAAAAGAGATTTCAGGCTTTTATGCTAATCAGCTGAGTTCCCTTTTTCTTGTCTTCCAATAATTAGACTTTGGGTGAAATGCATGCAGGAACACAACTCTTGAGCACAACATTGGGTGTGAAGGAATATTTGCAGAATGAATTCTTAAAAGTAGAAGAACAGATCCTACTCCCCAACAAGCAACTCTTTCCATCCCCGATAACATTGGATGATTTCTTATGGGCATTTGGGATACTCCGATCGAGGGCGTTTTCCCGCCTTCATGGTCAAACTTTTGTCTTGGTACCTCTTGCAGATTTGGTACAGCCTTTATCTCGTTTCTTTTAAGTCAAATTTTAGAGCATCTCTTGCTTATGTGTCTTGTGGACTCTAGTCATGGGGCTAATTTCGTAACCTTAACATAAGATAGATACCATATTGACTTGCCCTAGAATTGGTTTCCAGTTACTTATGTGCTAGAATAATTTCTTTTATGAAGTAATTCAGAATCTACATGCTAGAATTTGACGTGGTATTTATTGGTTCATGAATATCTCATGCTAGAACCCTTTGTTAAAAGCAGATCAATTAAAATAAAGAGCTTTATATCCAGTTGTCCTATTTAACAAGACTTCATCAGAGTGGAAAATAAAGCAAGTTTTTGTTCATGCATTATACAACTATGATCCTTATTTTCATATTTTGAAAATTCTCTCTGAAAAATATCCCTATAACTAATAAGCTAATTGAATTGCTTTAATTGCTTTAATGTTTATACCACAGGCCATTTTCTCTGTAAAGGGAAAAACCTATCCACTTTATTTTTATTTTTTGGTTGTTGTTGTTGTTGGTAACCACGCTTCACTTCAAAATTTAACTTTCTCAAAACTTGGCCCATTAATCAGATCAACCACAGCCCTAGCATAACTTCAGAAGATTATGGATGGGAGATTAAAGGAGCTGGACTTTTTTTCTCCAGGGATCTCCTGTTTTCTTTGCGAGCTCCTGTCTCTGTTAAAGCTGGTGAGCAGGTGAAAATTTCATCTTTATGCATTCCTTATTTTATTATTGCAGCTATTGTACTTCTGCAAAGTATCTTGAAATCCATTTCCCATGAGGAAGAAAAAATTGATGAACCATCCCTATACTGATCCAATATTGCTTGCTTTGCTATCACTGTTGCAATGCTGAAGGAAGCAGATCATAGCATACAATATTAATGGATTGCAAAAGCACAAACATTTCAAAGTGATATACAAATATAAATACACAAACACACATATTTATATTAATTCAAAGTTTATTCACAAACAAAATGCTGTCCTTCTCGAAGAGTGAGCTTGAAAAGGAAAAACTGAAGTCCGTTATCTTGTCCATGAGAACATATCTGGAATGCCTTTGATCCACATAAAAATTATCTTGAGACCTTGAATCATGACTCTCTGTGATATGTTTATTGCTGATTCATGAGTGAGTTACTGTATAACAGGTTTTGGTTCAGTATGATTTGGATAAGAGTAATGCCGAGTTAGCCCTGGATTATGGATTTATAGAGTCAAAGCCTGCTCGTAATGCTTATACTCTAACATTAGAGATACCAGAGTCAGACCCATTCTTTGGAGATAAGCTTGACATTGCTGAAACAAATGGTTTGGGCAAGACTGCATATTTTGACATTTTTTTGGATCACCCTCTCCCACCAGCAATGCTTCCATATCTTAGGCTTGTAGCACTCGGGGGAACTGATGCTTTCCTGTTGGAATCTATTTTTAGAAACACAATTTGGGGCCACCTCGAGTTGCCCATGAGCCGTGCCAATGAAGAGCTCATATGCCGAGTTGTCCTAGATGCCTGCAAATCTGCTCTTTCTGGCTATCATACCACGGTTAAAGAGGTACAGATTTATTTTTCTTGTACAGATTTATTTATTTAGGAGCAGGCTGTGGGTTGTTTGTTAGAACAGCAGTTTATTTGGGATGGGGGAGTTCTAATTTTTTTAGGTGGGATTAAGGGTCATCTTAATAGTTTATTGGAATGACAGTTTTGGGATGTGGGGACTCCTAATGTTTGAGGTAGGACTGAAGGCCATTTTACACATTATAGAAAATAGATAATATGTATTATAAATAAACCTCTACAAGATGAAAGAGAACTTGTTTGAACCTGTTCTAAGTCAGGTTTCTGTTCCTAAAGAGCATTATTTGCTGTTATCTGAAGATTCTTAATTGAACCGGGCATTGAATATACTGGTCTGCACTCAATTAGCATGCCTATCTTTTAGAGAACCTTCTACATCTCTTCAAAACATTCTTAGCAAACAGTTTTGTTCAAATGTTGGCAAAAAATGAAAACTGCAGGATGAACAGCTGATAGCTGGAGGAAATCTCAATCCAAGGCTTGCAATAGCAGTAGGAATGAGATCAGGGGAGAAGAAAGTCTTGCAGAAAATTGAGGGGATTTTTGAGAAAAGGCAATCAGAACTAGACGAGTTTGAATATTATCAAGAAAGGAGGCTTAGAGAACTTGGTCTTGTTGGGGAGCAAGGTGAAATCATATTTTGGGAATCCAATTAGGTCAAGCCAATTTCTTCAATCATAAGCATGTTGCCGTGCACCACTTTAAAGTACAGCCAGAAGAGAAGGGTGTTACATCCATGCTAACACCTAATGGTTATATGTGTGTTTTTTCCACAGATGATTCATGCTGCCCAGTTCATCATGATGACTACTTTTCTCCATAGCCATATTTTCTCCATTAGGCCATTTATATGCAACCTCTTCTTCAAAACATTGTAAGAGTAGAGGATTTATCTTCTCAATAACAATGACTAATGCTGCTTGCGGCTTCGCTTTTATTTTTGGTAATGGCTTAGGGCCTGGTGTTATACACATTAGATGTGGACTGTTTTTGAAGGAAGGTTTAATGTTTTAATTTTGTTCCTAAACTTTGTCTCAATGCACTTTTTGGGTCATTGAGGAATATTCTACACTTTTTTGGTCCTTTTATCGATGGAAGTCCACATTGCTAGTTAAATCAATTAAAAAAATAATTTTCTTCAAACTTGTAGGGTTTAATGCTAATTCTAGTACCTCAATAATTTTTAGAAGTTTAGGAACCAAAATAAACTTTTTAAAGTTTGGAGACGAAATTAAATGTTAGTGCAAGAGTTGAGGAACCAAAGAAATTGCGGTTAACCGTTAACCTTAAATATTTTGTGAAGACCATTTACTTGTACTTGCAAAGGAGATCAACTTTCCCCCTACGGGTTTTTTTTTTTTTCTTTTCTTTTCTTTTCTTTTCTTTATCTTTTTTTGGCAGTATGGAATGATCCTGAATAATGCAAACGTGATATCGAACTCATCTCACCTGGAAATTTATGTACACATCTAGTAATTGAAGAATGCATCAGCACAACCCAGAAGATCCACAAAATTGCACGATATTATATACATAAATTAATTTTTTTAGTAAAAAAGAATGAATAACAAATGAACTTTCTAAATCCCAGATGGAAACAAGAGGAACTTTTGCTGCCGTTTCTTACAAAGCTCACTCTAAAGTGTGTATACATGCCTTTTAAGAACTCACATAAAGCCTGCATGGATGAGAAGTTCTTCACACCATGAAGAAATGATTGCATTTTCTGCTTTCATGAGAGCTTACTTGAGTTACGAGGGCCCTGTAAGTCATCACAACTTGTTCCCTCACAAAGACATTCTTCAGGGTTTGCATAGAAATAATCTTCCTCCTTCGGCTTGTCTGAAACAACTGTCCGGTGGCTGGGCTGTCCCATCCGTTTCTCATGTGCTTGCCTTACGGCAACCTCAAACTCGTTCCATGTAAGCGTCCCATTCTGGTGTAAATCTAGCAAAGGTACTAGTTTTCTTCTGTCCAATAGAATACTCTTTCTAAACCCAAGGTACCTGAACAGCATCTAGTTAGGAATGTCTACAAGAATACAGTCTCCTCCCCATTTTTACACTCTGAAAATAGCTTTAACTCTCCCAGTTTCCCCCATTCATTATAAGTTTCACAAGAAATATCTCAATATACATACCTGCGATGACCTTCCACAACTTTTGCCATGTTTCCATCATATGTTGGAATGAAAGTGTTGCTGGCTATTGACACCAAAAAATCTAGGGCTGCCATCTGAGATGAATGGTTCTGAAATTGTTGCAGCTCGACAGGATCTAATAGTGTTTCCTTTTTCACCTGGAGTAATAATCAGGTCTTCAAAAACTAAATAAAATATTTGAAAAAGACACAAGCAAAGAGTTCAATGAACTGAAGTAACAGAGGCCTGCAGTAGAAGCAAAAAAGGCAGAGCTATCAGCAAAGCTGAATGAAGTATAAAATACAGACTCGCAAAACTCTGCCAAATGTGGATCACCATTTGTATCATATTGCATGGCAGATTTGCCAACATCCCATTCATGAGGGAATCAATAATATTTTGCACTTAATTTTTCCTAGGTATAAAATACATCCTAAGACTCTGGCAAAGGCACGGGAAAATCAGTCCTTAAATGAGATTTAACATGTCAAAAATTCAAAAAAATAAAAAGCAAAAAAAAATGTCAAACACAAAATTTAAGCCATGGAAAAATCAATCCTTCCATGAGATTCAACAAACATGTCAAAAATTCAAAAAAAAAAAAAAAAAAAAGCCAAAAACAAAATTTGAGCAGCTGTAAACTCACAATCCATGGAAAGGCAGCTCTTAGTGCTGACAGTCTCTTTTCTCCACCATAAATTTCACCAGAAGCAATATAGATTTGTGTCTTGTTATCAAAACCAAAAGCTTGCAAAATTAAAGCTGCTTCTTCTGGTGTCAGAGGACATAATCCTTGTTGTCTCCTCTCCTCAGAAACAATATCTTTCTCCCTCCACCAAGGGTATGCATACCTGAAAGGAAGGCACAACAGTGCCATGAACATTTTCTCATATTATCATCTAACAATACCTGTAATTGGAACTCTATTGTTCAGATGATTTATACAAATAAAATTGGATATATACGCGTATGGCTGGACTACCAAGATAAAACCATGCACATGATTCAAACAAACAATGCAAGAATGCAATCATCACATCGTCAAAAAGTGACCTAGTTAGGTTCTTTCTGACCATCAACTGTAGAAGTGACACTTTATGGCAAGGGAGCTGAAGATTACATTATGGTCTTCATATGAACATATCTATGTAGATTTTAACATACATAAGCTTTTAAATCCTACAAACCTTAACCGTTTTAGCTCCTCAGCTTCTTCCTCAGTGCAGCCATGTGTGCAGCCAGAAAAAGCCAACATGTCCATTTCATATCTTAGATGTAAAGCCACATATGGTCCCTTTTGTTGAAGAAGATGAACCAATTTGTATCCCAAAGTTTCAATCTCAGGAGTGAATTTCAGTCCCTGGAAATTAATGCGACACCTCAGTCTTTGAAGATCAAGTGAGATCCCATTGTTTGCCAACCGTGAGTCAGTTCTATTGAAATGTACCAACTTATACTTGTTGAATAGGGGGAGAATCTGCAGATTGATGTCACAGCCAATTGATTATTACCTAGAGCTAAGAGAATAGACAAGCAGTCATCAAGAGAATAGAAAATAATACAGCTATGGCAACTACTAAATAAAAACCTGCTCCAAGTAGTATTTTTCGTTTGACCAACTAATTGGTGGCATCTGAAAATCTTCATGGCCATATTTCCTAATATACTTCTTTGGAAGCCTTTTGACAATTCTAACTTCATCTCTTAGTGAATTGATGAAATGTCTCACATCAAAAATGTCCTCAAAATTACTGCAGAAAACAATTGAGTCAAAAAACTAAAGCAACAAAAGAAGTCATGACATTTCAATTAGAAAAAGCAACCTTGGGTCTGCCCAGAATGATTTCTTATCAAGCTCTGGAACAACCAAAGTGAGATTTAAAAGCCGTGCAACAGTCACCATGTCACAGATCTAAAAGTGTCAGATTAGCGGAGTTAATAACCTAACAATAAAAAAATAAATAAATAAATAAACGAGAGAAATGAACTAGAGAACAAACTGCAGCACGCATTTGATTCAAGCCGCCATTGCAGGAAACTCTAAGAAAACCATTGCTTTTATAAATTCCTGCAAAATAGAAGATATTTGTTAGCACTGCATTTGTTACAAACACACGCACATACACAAGCACATGCCTGCATGCAAGAAAAAGGGTGAAAATCTAAGGTAGACTTTGGCTAATTTTGCAGTATGTTTCGAGTAAACCTAAAAACTATGTTTTTTGTGATCAGAAGATAACTTAGCAGCCCAAGCCTTGGGCTGACAAGTCTACCCAGCTAAGCCTAAAATGATCAGCGAAATAAACACTTTTGGAAGTGATTAAGGGTATCCACCAGCTGAAATGAAGACAAAATGACAGGTTTAAGGTGAAGAAATTAGATTTATTTAATAAAAAATAGTTTTCTTAAAGGATTGATAGTGAAAATGATTATATCCAATTCATCTTTGCCCTAGGACTCGAAACTCTATCCAACCCTCCAAGGCCCTCCACAAATACAGCTGCATAAAACAGAGTTGAAGAATGGAGAGGTCGGCAATCTAGAAAGCAAAGGCAGCAAAACAGGAAAAAGAACAAGGTTAAAGAATAGAGAAGGGAGATTAGGAAATTTCAACAATCCTAAGTTTGTTTTTAGTCCAACACAATATTGCATGTTCAATAAAAAGAGGAAGTAAAGACCCTTTTCTTTTCGTTTTCTACAACATTGTTATGCCTTCATTGTACTCACTAAATGATTAATGAAATATTTCAGTCATTATTTTAGTATCTCAGTTTCATTTTACTTTATTTCTTTTTAGTTTAATCATGGTATGCAATAATTTGATGCAAATAACTATCAAGCCTCCTTGATTGGGAGTTGAAATTTTTCTTCCTAATGCAGCTTGGGGAAGCATTCCTTTTAAAAAAAAAAGGGAAGCAAAAGATAGAGAAGAAAGATTACATGACTTAAGGTCTTCTCTTCTCTATTTTAAATAAAATAAAAATGGTTTAAAAAGCATCTCCGTCTAGTTTAAGTAATTATTAGCAGTTTCTAAAGCTGGCTTTGGAAACAATTGTCAAAAAAATAGAAAAGCTGTAGCTCAATGGGGTCCACATGTATTCAGGGAAATCATATTATTGAGGCTCTTCATGCCACATGATAACACCTGTTTCAGGGAGTGCTCAGGGAAGAACCTACCAGGGTAGCTTACAACTAAGGCACATTTGGTTAAAATCTCATGTCACATTTTCTGAATTCATTTTCAAAAATTTTGCTAAAAAATAAAACATAACAAAAAGGTTAACAACTGTTTCTGCTTCCTTCTGTGGAAATATTTACAAAAGTTTTGAGAAACATCAGGTTAAAACAATCTCATGTTCTAATGTTTTCAAAAAAAGATAAAAAACCATTATACCCTCTTCCGCAAAGTCATAACATATATAACAATCCGTCAACTCTATTTTTGGTATAGAAACTATAAAAAGTTTTGAATTATCAACACATATGCTAGTTTCAAGAAACTAAAAAAATGAAAACAGGAAACATAGAAATGGGAAAACTACCAAATGTACTAAAATGATCAAGAAACCAGAAATTTAGCATCAGTAGTATGTTGACACTAAAGGATAAATGGATGGTCACTCCTAAAAACCCTTCAAAAGATGTTAGCATTTGATTACAGAGGATGTTGAAGTGAACTCCAACTTCAAAGAGACCATGGATATTTAAAAAACACAATCTTGCTAACAAGAAACTCAAGCTAAGTGTTTTGTCATTGTTCCTAACATGATAGTGTTGCAACTATTACTAGCAGAACAACCAATCTTGCTAGCAAGTAACTCAAATGAAGTGTTTTCTCATTATTTCTAACATGCTAAGATCTGCAACTATTACCAGTAGAACAACCAATCTTGCAGTAAGCAACACTAAATGGTTGTTTTATCATTATTTCTAACATACTGAGTGCTGCAACTATTACCAGTAATACAACCTAGAATACAAAAATGGCCATACCCAACCGAAAAATGGGATGTGGTAGCTACAACAATCATAAACTATACTGATCAAGAAATTACTAAGCCTGTCAAAACACACCTCGTCAGAAAATTGATAGAAAGCAAGAATAACAGTTGACAACAATTACAAATATACATTTACAAATTAGTCTGATCCATGAATACCTTTTGAGTTAATATATTTTGGGAGTAATATGATGGGAACTTATCCTTGTGCAGTGCTTAATCAAACGTATTTTACAATATGGAACTCTATTTCACATTCACTAACCGTGAACAAGTCCCAAAACAACAAAGATCAACCAAATGCAGTGGCAATTCATTCAAAAAACATAAGCTAATCACCTTGACTTAACAGGTTGAGAAAAATCAAAGCCAGTACCTTGCTGACAACCAACATCCAGAAAGCATTAACAGCCACCTTAATATTATTGAGAATCATAAAATGACTTATCCAGTGACCTAAAACCTTCACTTGGTCAACTAAACAAGGACTCCAAATTCATATGAACCATTGTTACCCCCGCCTCAAGACACTAGCATGGCATGCTCCAGGGGTTTTGCATAACCAAACTAAAATTAGAAACTGGAAACTCTACATTTGCCCTGGTCTCAAGTTAAAAACAAAAAGAGAGCCTCATCCTTCGCCATGCATAAAACTAATGTAAAAATTACTAGGCAGATTTGCATCGCTCAACATTTGCACTGATCAAATAATACGGGAAAAGGGGAATAATGCATATAAATAAATCGAAATATAAATGAAATTCAAGACCCATCCACAAACTCAAAAGCGCCAAAACAAACGAAAACAGAGACTCACTGGCAGGAACGAGAGGTGGCGGAGATTGAACAACCACTTCCCCATAGAGCGGAGGTCGCGTAACCCCCGAAATCCGGTTTGTTAATCCCGTGAACAGATGCGAGTGCCATAATTGGCCAACAGCCACGAGCTGGACCAAACAAGTCCACAGCAAAATGCTGGAGCAAACTCTAATGAACCACACCTGTAACCGAGTCCTAGGAACAACCTGAGCTGGAATCTTCTCGCATCTCACTTGTATATTCTCAGATCTAACCTCCATTTCTCTTCCACTCCCTCATTGCCGCTTCTTCATCGAAGAATCTCTTCAATCAAAATCCACACCACCCAATTCGATTCAAATCCACATTACACCCGAATCAACCCAGACAATCACAAATTCTTTTTTTTTTTTTCAAAGATTGGTTTATACGACGCGATGACACAAAATTGAAAAGGGGAAAAAAACCCTAAAAGGAGAAGAAAGAGAAAGATCACGAGAGGAAAGAGGAAAAGGAAATAAATTATAATGAATTGAATGAATGAATGAATCTCAATTCTCAGTTTCTCAGCGCCCAAACAGAACAGAACGATGAATTTGCCATCTTTCTGAACTTCCTCCTCCGAAGCAATCTACTTTTTTACAGTTGAGGGAATGGCAGTTTGGTTTCTGAGAAAATCAGAATTTTCTTAAGATTAAAAAATATATATACCAGAAGATTGGGGATTGCTTTGAATATTCTAATGATTACATATTTAAGAGTAATGTAATCTATTTATCTGCTACCGCCTCCCTCTCACCTGTGTTTTTTTTTGACATTTTCTTTATTTATT